ACATATAAAAAAAATTTAGAGATCACAAAAAATTTCAATACTACAGTGCTTGACTTGGCCTCCTGAATAGAGCATTAACCGTACTTTTATACACTTCTCCATCCTTACTCTCATTATTCCTGGTTTGCATGGCCCAGTACAGTAACTAAAAGGATATCTCAAATTGAGACAAATACCAAATGCCTTATACACATCTGTTCAATGTTTTCTACCTTTAAGAATTCCACAGGGTCCTTTATGTCCAGCGACTGTGCAGCAAGTTCCAGCAGCTCTTCAGAACTCTCTAGGGCATTACTACATTGGCTAAGCTGATCCTTAAGCAAAAACAGAAAGTAAGAAAAATTTAATTCATTCACATTAAAAAGAAGTTTATAAATTACCAGTACTAGAACTGCATGGCTTTGCTATGCATTTGTAACAACTTGCTACCTTGTCTAATCAAGGCTATTATCTCTGACACATGTTAACCAGAACTTCACAGTGATATATAGCACATCCTATAAATCCAAAGCGGGAAGAGGTGGATAGGTGGTATAGTCTGATTTAAAAGCCAGATTTCATTTTAAGGCCTGTTTCTCCCAATATCAGGATTTCAGAAGCAAAGTGCTTATATCTGCGCGTACTACCATTTCTGTCTACAGAACTGTGTTTCATCGATGAACCAATACTGTTTAAAGTGTTAGCGATCTTGAAAAAGGCAATAATTTCACCCCAAATCAGCTCTAGAATTGTCACAAGACAGTCCTGAAAAATCAGTATTGCAGTATAACAAGTGGGGATAGCAGTGGAAATGGAACAGAGGGAGAAGAGCAGAACAGAAATTTCTTTTGTTATTAACTAAAACCCTATCATTAGTAAACTACCATTCCCAGTATATAAAACAGTTCATAGAGTATTTCCAGTATTGCATAGTATGGATATATGCCTAATAAGATTAGTTTTTAATATGCTGCAAGACGGTAAACATACTGTAGGTTAAAGAAGATGCACACTTTAAACCCGCCAACAGCTTTTACATTGTCATTCAACCTCTATCTGTTTTTCTCGTGTTGTTGCCATAAGAATGGCAGAACAATTTTTACTGCTGTAAGAGCAGTATTTCAGTCTTTCAAAGAATGCTGCTTCACGGACAGGAAAAGGCAATAAAGACATTTCCTAACCAGTTAGTAGAAAAGATAATAAGATAGTGTATATCTAGAGATAGCAAGTAGACTGTTGTTTAGAAAGTTTTAAAGAGCTGTTCATCCTTGGGGGTGTGCAGAACCGGACTTAAGAAAGGATCTTCTAGTCAAAAGCCCCATTATGGAGATTAGGAGGTACCAAACATAAACTGTTTACAAAATGCTGAAAGTGAGCCAAAACTAAACGCAGCAGTGGGAGATCACGACCACCGACTCAATTCAAAGGGCTGAAAACTTCCCCCCCCAGACCAGCAGGGAGCATGTGTGCTAATTTACATGAGAGGTGAAGCTAATTTTAATATACTTAACTCATAATGAATGCAACCTTTATCACTAACCAGTAACTGTAGAATTAGTGGCAAATTAGATGTCTTTGTACCAGTAAGTTACAAAATAAATGTGTTACAGTTTTGTGATGCAGTATGCTTGTTTCATCTAGCATCCAAACTTGGTCAACTTTGCTAATAAAATGCCAGCTTTCTAAACTATCACTTGGTTTGGAGAGTTCTTTCTTTGATGTTGCTGCTTTTGGTAACTACGCAATACTTACTGTAACAGCTCAGAACAAGTCCACCCTGTCTCAAAAGCAGCAAACAGTTACATCAACTTGGACAACAGACCAGTCTCACACACTTCAAAAGCAGAACTCTTTGGCAAGTGTGGCAAGGTGACCTGGGTCAGCTGCCAGCAGCCCCTCAGATTTACTGTTCAAGGATAAAATAGCAACAAGGAAACAGTCCAACAGCTAGAGGTATGTACAAAGTTTCCAGATAACTTCTGAAGCACGCTGTTACGGCAAGTTGTCATTCCCTTAACACAGCTGCTCTAAAATAGCAACAAGGAAACAGTCCAACAGCTAGAGGTATGTACAAAGTTTCCAGATAACTTCTGAAGCAGATGGCAAGTTGTCATTCCCTTAACGCAGCTGCTCTTCTCTTTGGAGGATATCCAGTGCTGACAAACTCAGACACTCCATGATACACCCAAAACGTCCTGGGCAAACACCTCAGGAAGAAGCAAATGCCAGAGCCATTTTCAAATATCTTTGCAGAAATCACACAGTAACTGGATGCTTCCCCTAGCACTTCAGTGTGCCGCATCTACATTTGGGAGTTAAACATAAATACTTCAGTGTCATCAAAATATGCTGCCCCAAAAATGAATTAGTATCTTTTAAAAACAAGAGTTTAAGGAAAATTTCTGGGTTTGGCCTTAACTTTCAAGGAAAGTTAAGATCTGGGAAGGATCAGTTTAAGTATTAAATCCTCACCCTTTTCCACCATTATGTAGTCCTGGTATTTTAAGTTACAGCTTATTCTCAACAAGAGCATCTAGTCAACGACACAAGACTAACTACAGCACAAGCACTTTAAAAGGACAATAAATTGAGCAACGCCATTCCCCTAAACACAATGTTTAGACCTCACTGAAGTTCCTTGGTTTCCTTGAAGTTAATTATCAGTTCCAGCCAAAGATAATGGCTTGAATTAATACATTCAGCATAATTTCTCATCTGTTAATTTGATTTGGTGGACTGATTGTCAAGAAAACCACTCTTGCAGTGTTTCAGTTACAGAGGAAGCCTTGTCAGTCATCAAGTAAAGAGGACATCCTTTAGGCCTGAAGTCAGAGAGTAGCCTCAGCTGAAAGACAAGCAGGGTGCTTAACAACTGTGTCAGTGATCCGTAACATTCCACTTGTCTCCATCCTCTTCTAAGTAGCAGCTCAGCTGTTCAATACAGATACTGGGCAACAATTCTTGATGCAGTTGTACCACACTGACAAGCTTCCAGAACTTGGTTCAACTACACCTGAGCTTGATTAAATTAGGCTAAATATCAGAAAATTAACAGATATTAACAGAATTGACAGAAAATTTCAGCAGTCAAACTGCCAGATGAACAACTATCAAAACATTTTTTAGTTCAAGAACCATTTTATTGCAAGACTAACTTCAGTTTTTCTTCACTATAAGGTAGAATAATTCAGCACGCCATAGTTTTATTTCTCCTGAAAGCTGTGCACTGAGAAGCATTTATTCTTTAAGCATCTAAGTCCTAAGAGTCCTTGGATGTGGGTAAATCTCTGTTTGTAAAGAAACTTTAGAAAGACTTAAAATAGACATATCGGAA